CTTCGGGAGGCACTCCAACTTCAAACCGTACCGGGAATCAACGCCCCTCGTAAAGTTGAAAACCAAAGCTGCGAAGCTCCGCGCAAGTATTTCCAGCGAACAGTTCCAAGTTACGCACATGGTACCCAACCAAAACAAGTCTGTTGCCTTGCCAACTGTTGTTGGCATGCCTTGTTCGCGGATTGAAGGATATGAAGGGCCTAGCAACAGGTATCAATCTACCCATGCGACCTTCCATGCTGCGCAAACCTGCGCTGTCCTCAATCCAAAGCTCACCATTGACAAAGTTCGAGGCCGGCACTAGGACATTCGGTATGATGGCTGAGTTGTTGGAGTCTCTGTGGACGTGGGACCGCAGGTTCAGTGAGACCCCAGCTGATGAAAACCAAGCGGAGGGCGCAGCACTACGCAACACGGATGTAAGGAGGGTTGTGACTTGTGGGTACCTACGAGTATTTCCCATAACTCCAGTGGAGACACCATGGATGTAAGCACCTGTGAGGAAGGAGCAGGACCAGGTGTCGCGCTGTTCTGGATAGTGGAAGTTCCTCGTGCTGGAGGGCAGGTGCGCTGTCAGCCCCAGAAGGTCGTCCCCCCACAACCAACGATCACGCAGCGCTCTGAGTGCAATCTGCTCGCTGGGATGTTCCGGCTCCATATCCTCCAGCACGAGTCCTTCAGGAGTCTGCAAGTTGAACCCCCCTCTCTATAGGATAACCCGCAGGGGAAGGCGAGTAGCCAGCCAGGCTATCACTGAGACTGACAGGAACAGGCTCCTCAGACTCTCCTGACTCAGAGGGAAAGGTAGGTTCCGAGCATTCTAAAGCGACGGCTCTCGGCAGGGTGACTCCCAGGATGGAAGGTGCCTCCAGTATGAGCAGCTCAGTCCACTCCTCAACACCTATGTCAGGCGGCCGCTCCATGTGGGGCAGTAGGCTGAGTGTAAGAGCACGCTGATCCGGGTCCATACCTGGCAGTGTCCGGCGCAACAAGTTTACGGCAGGCTGTATTCATAGCTCGGGCACCGGCTCGAAGTGGCGCAGAAAGGAACACACCTGCAACAGCGAGAAGGTAGACTCTTACCTTCTTTTGAGAGCGCTTGCCATGTGACTTCGGGCACTGGATTTTGACCCACAGGTGTCACCGCGTTTCAAAAAAGCTGTCGAGAGGGCTTCGTGAGCTAGGATCATGGCCTTTGGCTACTGCACAGAAGTATGGCCCAGCTCAGCACCACTCGGTGGGTCATGGGCAATGTACCAACGATGAAGCGTGTCGGTAAGTGCCACGGCATGCTCTTGACTGAGGCCTTCGCCAAGAAGTCTCACGTTTACTTCGCCCAGAACCGTGTTCAGCGAAGTGGCATCCACGGCGCATTGAAGGAGTGTCCTGAGGACACCAGTCTGCAATGCAGGTATGGCCCACGTCTCTGATGGCATAGGCGATGGGTGCTGCCTCAAAGTGAGAGCCACCACGCAGCTCACGCAAGTGGTCCACGAGAAGGCAACCTCCAATGCCGAGGTCTCGTTGTGGCTGCAGTTGCCGGTTGGCACGGAGGCCGCCGTGTCACCACTAACTTCCAGTTGGGATGGTTGCGCTGCAGGGCTAACCTCGAGCCGCGGAGTCCCAGCAGCTGCGGTAAGCATGGCCTGAGGCTCGCTCACAAGAGCACCGGTACAGGTCACATCCAAGGAACCAGGAGGTTGCTGCGCCGGCTCTGACGGATGTAGGTCATGCCGCATAACCGGCTGCGGTGCATCGCTGCTGGAGTCTTCGTCCCCATAAAGCATCATATGGGTATCTGCATGGGCCCTACGTCTTCGATGCTCCATGGCTTGGGGGCATATCAGCAAAAGTGCACATAGGGCGGCAAGCATGATTGGCGTCCTGCCCAAAGGCTAAGACTTAACAAGAAAAACTGCGGGCAGTGGCAGGTGGCGCGTGTGGCATCGCTTGATAAAGCAGCACTGGAACCGGCCTGCACCGGGAGTGTAGTCCGAGCTCCCAGCAGACGCTAACGCAAGAAAAGTTGGCTGAGGGCCAAGGAGATGGAGGCAGGCAGGCGCTCACCATGCTGTTCACGAATGTGCAGCTACATAACCTCCGAGTTTCTCACCCGTGCTCTAAGCCGTAAAGACATGTCTGGGCACTACCACGGCAGCTTCGTGCGTGGTGGCAAAGAAGAAAGGCCAGCGCAGTGGCCGGCAAGCAAATTGCGAAGCAAACAAATTCTGGCGCAATGTCCCGATGAGTGGCTGTGGCAAATTCATCCAGCACTGCAGGCATGCAAGAAAGGCACATGCGCTTCGGCGTACGCCTAGGCCCAGTTTGACAAAGCTACTCGCATTTGCACAATCCGAGGATGTAGCATCCTGTAGCAATATCTTGTAGGTCTTTGCGCTTTGCAATCTGTGGCCTACTGTTGTCATCAAGGACATGGAACTGAAAAACACCCTCAGCTCGGGCCGTCGTGATGGCCGTTCGGTAATGGCCTGATGTGAGCGTGCTTCCTATGTGGTACACCAGGCAGACGAGACGGTATGGTGCCCAGCAAATGGCCTGCTCTGCATCCATGCAGGGGAAAACAGCGGTCTGACCTGGAGCAAGCTGGATAGGGCTGAGGTCCTTTAAGGCAGGGTTGTTTACTTGATACCTAGAGACATGCAGGAGGAGAAGCCTAGGGTGGTGGTCTAGCATGTGTAGGTGTTGGGAACTTTCCTCGTGCCAGTAGTACACGCATTCTTGCAGAGTGGGCTTAAGGTCCAGGCGTAGCGGCATGACAGCCATTGTCATGCACCTTACGCGTCTCAGGGTTGATGCCCGCCAGCTGCACTCTAGGAGCTCTGCGCATGTCGGATCCAATGTGTCTAAACCAACTACGTAAAACCGGGGGCTCTCTGCCCAGTTTTCAGGGAGGTGAACGCAGTTTGCAGTTGTCCGTATGGTGCGGGGCGGTGGCCGTACTTATATAGGAGCCATTTCAGCAAGAGCGTTACTGCGTTAGCGTAGCAAAGCTGTCCTGGATTTGTCAAGATGGGGGTCGCTGGAGCGCCCAACGGAATTTCGCTCAGCCGCCCATCCAGGCCCGACTGGCCAGCGCCCAACGGAATCTCATTCAGCCGCCCATCTAGGCCCGATTGGCCTGCGTTGGTTTGGGTAGACGTTCCGCCAAAACTTTCAACAAGGGCTGGGGGTCCCCGCGTTGCGGGCGAAGAGTCATTCCCACCAACCTTGTGAGGGCCGACCCGCTCAGTCGGGTCATGGCCTTGCGCACGGTGTGTGCCTCTTCGCAGCGGCATCCCACACTCAAGAGGAATGCTAGGGACGGGGATTGATATGTTTCCGCCAAGGGTCGCGTCCCATGGAAGCGAAGTATGACACCTGGTGTCACCAGGGCCGTGTTGAGATCCTGCAGGAGTTTCGCGGCTTCTTGGTGATGGATTGCGGTTGTCCCGGCTGCCGGCTCGAGCTTCTCGCTTTCCGGATTCCATCTTAAGTACTTCCAGGATACTTCGTTGTCTCCCTTTTCGACCCAGTCCATCTTCGCCATCTGGTCCTGCTTGGCGGGGTCCTGAGTGACCTTGTTGAATCTTGTGATCCACAACAACGTTAGGCGCAGGGACTGAGTCAGAGTGCCCTCTGTCTTCATCTTGCGCCATTTCTGAGACGCGGCCCAGAAAAGGCTGAGGATGCCGGCCTCCGCTGTGTCGAGGTGGAGGAGAAAATCGCTTTCTGTCCTCCTCATCGAGAATTCGTCCTCGTGCCTGATCACCGCTCGCCCCATCAACTCTACCAAGTCCTTCAGCTGATCGAACTCCTTCTGGCTGGGGGCATCCGTCTTCTCCCATTTCCAGTTGTTGTCCCACTTGCGGACCCTTGCCCTGTGGCTTTGCCCATTTGGTTCGAGGCTCTTCGCTGTCCTTGGTCGCTACGGTGGTCGGCGTCGCCAGGCCCGAGTAGAACTGCTGCATCTCCGCCTCCGCTTCGGCCGTCCTGCGTCTGGTCCGCCATCGTTCTCAGGACGTCGATGAGAGAAGGAGAGACCCACAGGAGCTGAGGATGTAGTTCCAGGACAAAACTGCTGCAGCATGAGTCGGGACTGATAGTACGCTATGCATTTCGGCGTACGTAGGGCTCCTGCTTGTGCGCCACTAGGCTGAAAACCACATGCCCGGCAGCGACCCTTATATTTGATGCGAGGCTCGGACTTGAGGGTATCCATTATAGCAGCATTATGGGCCCAGATTTCGGGGTGCGACCTACGTATGTGTGACTTCATGCCTGCTGACTGCGCACACCACTGCCCACATACCGCGCAGTGCTGGCTGAGGTGCGGGCCTTTTTTTTCTGCGAAAGAGAGCCAATTCCTTTTGCACGCCTCCAGCTTGTCGGCACGCTGAGCGTAAGGCTCGTCTGCTGCCGCTACAGTGCTCACGGCAGCAACCGGCTCGGAAGCCACAGCATTGCTACCTTCTAAACTGGCAACCGGCTCGGAAGCCAAGGCATTGCCACGCTCTGACGCTGTTGTGTCTACTCTCCCACCTACTCCATGCACAGCTTCATGTCCAACAAGTTGAGGAGACTGTTCAGAAACGTCTCTACTAAGCTTGGGCTGAGCTAGCTGGCCCGGCACACCGGCATGGAGAACAGGACAAGCCTGGAGGTGTCCTCGAAAGCCTCCCCACTTCCTAAAAGACTGCCCACAGTGAACACAGATTGGCAGGCCCCGCACGCTATGTTTGCGAAAGTCCGAGACAGGGGCAGACGAGGACTGTCGGGCGCCATGCTTGCTAGCCATGTGAGTACGCATGCCGTGCAGGGTATCAAAGGATCGCTCACAATGCAAACACTGAAATTTATCCTGACTAGGACGCGAAGGCTTCGTGTTAAGTCTCTGCGGCTGCAGGGCAGGGTCATCTAGCCTTGCCATAACCGACTGAAGCCACTGTATTTCCCTATGTTGCCCTGGAAATCGGTGCAACTGGGTACCTAGTTGAGTCAGTCTACGCTCCACTGACTGGCGAAGAAACTGCCGCACAGAGGTCAGCCCGACGTACATAGAGATCAGCAGTACTCTCAAAAGTGATGTGTCTGGCTGAGCCAGCAATACACCGGATGTGATGGGCTTCCATACGTGAGAGCAACTGCAGGCTTTCCTCGGTGGCTCCAATGGCAGAAATGCTGTACAACGCAGTGGAGCGAATGCAGGTGAGGTAGACTTTAACCCTCTGGTTCATGCTGAGACCCCTTTTCTTAAATAGGACCTTGCAAAGTCTGCTGACTGACGCACGAGCCTGTTTGATGCGTAGCTGGGCGGTTTGCTTCTCAAAACTTTGAAAAGAAAGGCACGCGCCAAGGTACTCTATGGAATCCGCAAGGCCAATCTTTACTGCAGAAAAAGGAGTGGCAAACTTAATAAATTTGGACCCCTCATGCAGGAACGAGTGCTTGCGTATCCACTTTGTGAGGGTGTTTCCGGCAGCTCGCAACATCAGCTTCGACTTTTCAGGGTTCACCTGCATTCCAGCTTCCCGCAAAGCTTCAAACAAGCAGCCGACTCTGGCGCACATGAGGCCCAGGTCGCGACTGTCCGCCAACCTGAAAGCAGATAGAAAATCGTCCGCGAAAAGAGTCTGCATCTCCTGAATCCATGCTTTCGCAGAAGTACGACCTTCAAAAACAGCTAGTTTGTTTTCCAGGCAGTGCAGCATGTAATGGGTGACCGATACCCAAAGCAGCGGGCTGAGCACACATCCCTGACGAATGCCATTTCCGAGGGCAATTTGTCCCCGGTGGCCGCGATGTTCAATGTGGTATTGGGTGTGGTGGATGGAGAGAACAAGGCTTATAGTGTCCGGCTCTATGCCAAGGAATTCAAGAGCTTTAGTAAGACACGAGCGCGAAACAAGATCGAAGGCCTTACTCATATCTACGCTCAGCACACCTCCTCCTACCATGGAAGTACGTGTTTTGCCCAGTTTTCTGTCCTGTACTTCGATCCTTGCAGCGCTTAGGGACTCGCGGACCTCGTGACAAAACATCGCCGCTCTGCTCAGGGCATTGTATGTACTTCGTCCAGGCAGATAGGCAAATTGTGGGGTGGACTCAAGTAGTGGCAAAATTTCCCTTAGAATGTTGGTCTTAATGACATGTGCGAGGCATTTGCCAGTTGGGGTCTTGCAAGGCTATGGGCCGAAGCGCTGAAGGGTGATTTGGGCTTTTATTCGGCTTTGGGAGTAGCTTCAACCAACTAACTGTCCATCGTTCTGGCAGGTCGAGTCCACCCGGCTGGAGACACGTGCTGAAAAGCGCACACACGACGGGAGATCCGGGAAGGCATGAAGGATTTCGGGCCGAGCAGAGGATCCCTATTAAAGACCCCATTAAAATAGTCCTTGATAAGATTAAATTCCTGTTCCGCAGACAGCATGGCGCCTTGTGCAGAGTGAAGCTGAACTCTACCTCGGCTCTGCTTGGGGGCTAGGCTTTGGATGTGCCTGTACAAGGTGTACATGTCTCCTTTCTGCACGGCATCTTCGGCTTGCTGTAGAGTATCTATGAGAATCCTTTTGCGCTTGTCGTGGCTGCGCTTGCGTAACTGCGACTGCACAACATGGAGTCTAGTAGCGCTTCTCCAGATTTGAAAGATTGCGCCAAGCGCTCTGCTGCGCCGAAAGGAATCACAGGCTGCCCTGACTGCATGTCTCTCCGCCCAAAGCTGTCGGACGCTTGCTTGTACTTCCTGAGTCTGCCATGCTCTGACAGCTTTGGGCTGCGGGATGTGCGGAAAAAGGCTCTCACAGCAGCCAATCAGCAGCCGATTGAGGGACTCAGTTGTGGCAGGAGGGTCTGAGCTGATGCGCTCTTCTATCAGACGCCTGAGCTGCTGGCTTTCCTGTGAATGTGTTCGAAGAGCATCCCTGAGGCTTAGTCTTGAAAACGAAAGTCTGGCGACTTTTTCTGTAGGCTGAAGTGGAAGACCCAATCTTAGGCTGGCCACGACCGCTCTGTGTCGGCCTCCCCCTCTCCATGGTGAAAAACATACCTCATCCGTAGGTTGGGCACGCTTGGCACGAAGGTCTGCGGTGCATGCTGAGGCAAGAACAAAATCAATGTGCGTGCGTTTGCAGATGTCACCTGGCATTTCGAAAGTGTAGGCGCTTCTGGCCCGAGTCCAAGTGTTCAGCGCGCAGAGACCTGTGTGGCGAACAAAGTCCCCAAATGCTGGTGAATCTGGCTGTGCCTGCTTAGTCGAGTAGAGGCCTTGTCCCACGTTTTGTCCTTGCGGACTTAATGCGCGATTGAAATCCCCGGCAACACAATGCACGTTGCGCTTAGGAAAGGACTGAACAAGATTCGAAATTTCATCCAAAAACTTCCTTCTTGCCTCCAATCGACCTTTGGCAGGGTCTGCATCCCATGCCCACTGGTATGCGCTAACAACATCAACCGATCTGGCCTGGCGACCTTGCCCCACTGGAAAACGCACATGAAGAATGCGACCTGGTTGTACGGCACGGTACTGCAAGGCTTCGGCGCGGGCGACCCTATGGGAGATAATGATTGCCACTCCGTTTTTAGGGTCAGGGGAGCTAATTACGGACCATGCCGGAAGGGTATACTCAAGTGATTCCTTACCTAGCCCGAAATGTGTCTCCCGCAGCATAACAATGTCATATTGTTTTCCGGCCTGTTGAAGCCAATTGGCCAAGACGTCATACTGCTGGTGGTCCTGCGCATGCATAGATGTATGGCAACCCAGGCTGGCCGCTGCGCAAATCCTCTGTACATAGTGCTGCCATTGGCAACAACTCTCCTCTGCGCACGCCTGAACGCGCGCTTATCCGAGCTAATTTTGCTGGCCCTTGTGCAATGCTTCGCCTTAGGCGTAACATGTGTGTCAGAACCTGTTGAGGCTCCCGCTATACCCGCACACGGCATAGCAACCCTCACATCTGTGGAACCATGTCGTGATAAAGAAGTGGTGCTTGGCTTAGGACCCTGGCGGTCCTTGCTTTGTCTGGCGGGGGTAAGGTGACCTGAACCCTGCACACTCGAACGTGCTTGTTGAACTCTAGATGATGAAAAAGGTTCGGGCTGCCTGCGCAATCCAGGAGGCGTAAGCAAGCTGGCAAATAAAGAAATCTCCATGAAAATCAACCAAGTGTAAAATGCAACCATGGACATGCAAGCTAACTATGCGTCCCAGAGCACCAATGCCCGTAAAACTTGGGTGGTGTTGGGCACCTGCACGCTATGCTACCCCCACCAAACACTACAAACAGCTTGGGCCCGAGATGCTTCAGAAACAACTTGTCCTCAAAAGAACGTCAGCGGAGAGCATCTACTTGCTGCCATCCCACTGCGGGACCCTAAGCTAAGCTGCCAGCAGCTTGGCCACGGTAGCCTGGTCGGAGAAGGACGCCATCACTGGCCAGCACGAGTTGAAAGATCTAGAGGTCCTCGGGTAGTCCCTTTCGAAGGAAAAGCCATCCGATTTCCAGATAAGATACCCCTTCTCTGGCCACTTGGGCTCCACCAGCGATGCCGTTCTAGACAAAGAAAGGCAACCATCTAACCTTCCGGCCTGCCCCCGATGTCTTTGTCCTGTCGAAGACCTCTCGGAGACCAACGAGGTGGACGGGTCCATCAAAGTGTGTTTCTGATTGTGAGCCTTTTACCAAAACTGCCTTTATGGTTTTGGTTTTCAACGTGCTACCTCTGTCTCTGGTGGCTCTTTCTGGGCACAAATCCGGTTTTCATGTCCCACAGATTTCATGCTTGTAAATTTCTCGTTTTTCTCTTTTCCAAAACGGGGCAGCATGATTTTGTGGTGACATGATTTTTCCTGATTGAGATTGTGCCTTGTATTCACACCTGGTTTTTGCACTAATGATTGTCCACCGCCGTTGGCGTCAACTGCTTAAGGCTTGTGCTTAGCCTTTGGATTCAAAAGTCGATCCGGATACCTCCCTCCTAAACGAAGGGGGGGAGACCATTGCCATGTTTCTGTGGAAGAGATAATCTTCCGCTTGGAGCATGAAGGAAGTTTCTAAACCCGTCTGCAGCCCTGATGGATGCGGACACGGACAGTGCTGCGGGACCCGAATTTTTTTACTTGGGATGATCTGCCAGCTGCGCTGCGAAGGCGTCTTTCAGGATGGAAAGCAACCTAGTGTCGAGATCTTCTGCAACTTATTTGCCGACAGGGCGGATCTGGAACAAGTGGTGGAGAGTGCTGGGTTTTAATGAATTTTAAGTCAGGTGTGGGACGCTTTTAGAATGAATCTCGAACAAGTTTGGAAGAGTTATGGAAAATTTTGAAATGGAGTGGAATTCGTTTGGCATAAGTTTGGACGGAATTTTGGTAAAGTTAAATGAGGTTTGGGTCAGGTTTTGGGTCGGGTTTGGAAGAATTTCGGACAAGTTTGGAAGAGTTATGGAAAATTTGGAAATGAAGTGGAATGGTTTGGCATAAGTTTGGAGGGAGTTTAGGTAAAGTTAGATGAGTTTTGGGTCAGGTTTGGGTCGGGTTTAGAATGAATTTCGGATAAGTGAGGAACAGTTATGGAAAATTTTGAAATGAAGTGGAATGGTTTGGTTTGGAAGGAGTTTTGGTAAAGTTAGATGAGGTTTGGGTCAGGTTTGAATCGGGTTTTAGAATGAGTTTCGGACAAGTTTGGAAGAGTTATGGAAAATTTTGAAATGGAGTGGAATTCGTTTGGCATAAGTTTGGACGGAGTTTTGGTAAAGTTAGATGAGGGTCAGGTTTTGGGTCGGGTTTAGAAGAATTTCGGACAAATTTGGAAGAGTTATGGAAAATCTTGAAACGAAGTGGAATGGTTTGGCATAAGTTTGGAAGGAGTTTAGGTAAAGTTAGATGAGGTTTGGGTCGGGTTTGGGTCGGGTTTAGAAGAATCNNAGTTATGGAAAATTTGGAAATGAAGCGGAATGGTTTGGCATAACGGAGTTTCGGTAAAGTTAGATGAGGTTTCGGTGCAGGTTTGGTTCGGGTTTAGATGAATTTCGGATAAGTTTGGAACAGTTATGGAACGGGTAAAAACAGACCGATGTGCGTCACAAACTGGTTAGATACCTAAAAAACAGATCAACGGCTTCGATACAAGAAGGATACATTACTGAGTTGCAAGAGCTTGGACCCTCTCTTAACACTGAACAATTTCATCTACACGGCTGAGAAGATATTTGATCT